CTACCAGTCGAGGCTACCTCGCGGCTGTCAGCATTCTTCCGGATTAGGAGCAGCCCAGACCCAATCTTCAAGTCGCGTATTGTGAGATCAGGTTTCTCCAGAAGATCCACTCGTCGGCCACCTGTAATGGTGCTAAACTTCGAGAACCCCGTGAGCTGCTCGAGTTTCTCAACTAACTCAGCTGCGGTAGCAAGATCTCCAATTCGTAACGATCGAAATTTACTTTGAGCGCTTCCGTTGAACGTCTGATATCGTATTTCAATTAGCTCGCCCTTCACCAGATGATCAGGCAAGTTGGGCGGTGAATTCTGCGGCGGGCTATATTGAGGCCGAGTCCGTAGCCCCTGGAGGAACTGGCGAAGAAAGAGTAATGAACGACTGAAGCGTAGTGCGTCGGCTCGACTTTCATTTCCACTGAGGTCGCTTGCCATTGACTCGTCAGTACCATTGGCGGTGTCGCCAATGGATGGCTTCAAATGAGCCGCGGCAGACTTGAGTTGTTCAACACAACGATCCACCAAAGCAATATGAGTTGCCTCAACGGCCGATCGCGGAGAGCGGTTGATCACCGAGTGATCAAGGTAGACCTCGATCGCAAAATTTGTGGCGTCCGTTTCGATTGAGCCGGGCGGAGCCGTGAGAATGAAATTCCAGATACGGTCCAGCCCGGGAATTGAGACGACCTCATTCTCTTTAGCGATTGGCGGCGGATTGAATCGGACCTCGTAGTTGACCGCTTGCTTTGCGAACGCGAGCAATTCGGGAGAGTACTCATTAGGAGACAATTTTGGAAGATATTCTTGAATACACCTTTCAATGAATGGATTGCGTTTTGGGCTGCGTCTCATGAGTTCGCACAACATGTCCCACACAGCTCTGCGGCCCTGTTCCACCAGTGTTTGGGACACGAGCACCTTTTCCCAAAGGACATCAGCCAGGTCCGCCGTGATAGAATCAGGGACTTTGTCAATAATGCGTGCAAGTAGTTGAATTCTGGATATGTATCCGGTCTTCGAAAAGGATTCGGCAAAGTCTGTCTGCTTCATGTCCACTGTGTGAACCATTTCGGCAATGACCAGGGCCGGAAGATCAAAATCTGTGGCAAGCTTGCGTATCTCCTGCGTATCGTACCCCGGAAGGAGAGCGTTCAAGGCCTGAATGCTGCCGACAGTAAACTGATTCATTTCAGCAATATCCTGAATGCAGCGCTCGTACGTCTCCATCTTATCACTTTCACTCAGCCCGACACTTATCAACGAGCTCAACTGCGAGCTCGCAACTCTCTGCAAAAAAGCCTTGTGCTCTACCGAGAACTCTTCAAATGCAGCACTCTCGCGAATGAGGCGCACGCACAAACGCAGAGGAACAGCATCCACATGGGATGCATCCAGCAAGTCGTGTCGATTTCTCTCGCCCTGTTTTTCGCGGACCTGATAAAGCAGTTGCTCACAGAACTCGACCATCCGTGCGTCAAACCGAGACAGAGGTAGCTCGAGAAGCTTGGAGCACAGGTAGATCAATGCTGAGGACAATGGTGAATGCATGTGGAATGTCCTGGTAAGCATCCCGAGCACTTCAGATACTGTCCGCGGATCTTGTGACTCTGTCACCGTCTTCCAGATGGTATCCGTGTCTAAGTCGCCGTAAGTAGAGGTAACTATCAGGAAGCCGACAACATTTCCACTTCTACTAATGAGCTGAGGATGTGAATCGACGCCGACAATGTAATCGACAACTTTATTCTCCCTCAGGAAGCCGACGAGGAACCGGACAAGCGGGTGCTCAGTTCCTGTGGGATTGGGTTGGATATATTGCCGCCATACGTTGACGAGATCCGCTTGCATAGTCTCTATGCCATGAACCCTCAACTCCATGCGGCCATCCTTGATATGCTTCTGTAGTACGGCAAACCTCCAAGCATAATAAATTATCCAGGCACGCTCATCTTGGGAGATATGCTCAGGGAGCTCGATCAAGAGGTCTTTGGCGACCTGCGATGTGAAACTCGAATCGCGGCTGATGGCAAGATAGATACCCGAGATGCACCGAAGGATCGACTCACTCGCATCGCTTGTGACCCACGGGGACTTCTTGGCGATGTGGACCTGATACTGTCCATCGATGTCCCGTGCGAACTGATAGACCTGCTTCAGAAAAAGAGGAAAAGACGAAGATTCAGCGATACTTTCCTCCTCGCGTATCTTCCATTGTTCGACCCCAGAGTCCATGATGTTGTGCACGATGGTGAGGGTGTGCACCAAGGAAGAAGAGAGCTGCGACCATTGGGGTCTAGAAACAAGAGCCAGGAGGCAAGCAGCATACTCAGATAGCAGGTGGATCGTACCGATCGGAAGGAACGCAACTCGAATATTGAGCTGAACGACAAGGTCAACGATCTCGGGACCGTGGGCGCGTTCCATGGCGCGATAGAAGGGAATGCCGTGTAATTGTAATATCCAGCCCAACGCTTGCAAGTACGCCCTTGACATAAGATCCACGGCCTGCACATCTGTGTTCTCGGCCAGTTGCTTCAAGGTTAGTATATCCAAGCGCACCAGACGAAAGCCAAGCAAAGCAAAGTTGATAAGAAATTCCTCCAAGCAAGACCAGATTCCTTGGCCATCATCAGGCTCCAGAGGCTGCCTATAATGGATAATCGTCAGCGAAGAGTTCTGCCACCTTGTCGTAGTCGCCGACGACTGGTGTCTCAAAAGGGCTGCTTACCCTCTGCGAAGCAATGACTCCACAAGCAAGGGTAAATCTTCCCAGAAGATTCGGTCATCCACGTAAGTTTCATCAGTAAATCGATCCAAGCTCTGTGCAATCTCATCGAACCAGTGCTTCACGGCCAAGAAGACACCAACATCGTGTTGAGTTCCTGCCCGGCCCAGCTCCGTTAGTCCCGAGCAGCTTCAAACACGCACAGAAATTATTGGATACACTTTGCATACCTTTCTCAATGATTGCGCTGATCCCCTCCAAGTTTTCCCGTAGGTCATCGGCGTCTCGTAGCTTGGGAAAGCTATCGCTCAAAGGCGGCTGTCCTTGGAGTTGCACCACCTCTGGTGTGACAGGGTCCCGCAAAGCTTCCCCGAGCGTCCTCCACGTCGAAGTGTTGGGGTCCTGATCCATATCTTCCAAGTCGGCTACCTCAATCTCCGGACTCTGTGCAGGCGTCGACGATATCGAGACGACTTTGGGGGAATCAGCGGGTAGGGCAGCATTAGGCGGACCAGCGCCAGGATGCTCGGCGGTAGTGTCTAAGGAATCAGTCGCCATGGTATCGGAGGTGGGAGATTTCACATTGATGGTCACTCTGCTGGCGGGGGCGGTCGACGCAGGGACGTCGTGATCTGTCGTTCCGGGCGTGGCAGGAGCAGCCGGCGTCGGCTTGGACATTCGAGAAATGGTAGCTTCGTCTATCGACAACGACTCAACGGCACCGCTTCCACTGTCAAGGCGCGGACGTTTCCGGGTAGATTGGGGATCGAGATCGTCCATGGAATCGCCGTGTAGACGCGTCGAATCGGTGGATTGAGTAGCGTCAGGCGGGGTGCTAGAGCTATCTAGCGGGGCAGCTGCCATGACATTTTCTCTACCTTCTGGTCGGAGTGTGAGGGAAATTTGAGGTATAATAGGAGGATGTAGTAATGGCCGACAAGTTGATGTCTACCCACAAACAGATAAGATAATAAATTCTCTCTGCGTATGGGGTGATAAGACAGAAAAGAGAAAGTGTGCGAGAGTATGCGTGCGAAGCGAAGGGGGGTATGTCAATGGATTATTATGTAGAGAGTGGAAAGCAGAAAGCTACATAGATAACCACCAGATAGAAAGAAAAATTGAGGTAGATAGGCAGCTATCACTCTAATCGGTGAGAAGATGATAATAATCACAAGTTTGGCGGAGAGAAGAGCACAAACCAAAGCAAACACCACCAAATCAAAAAGCTCGGACTTGGAGAGCTGAAAGAAGAATTAAACCTTAGAATTAAGAACAGGCAGCTCTGACGTTGTGGTGGAGAATGGCCTGGTGGGTCACCCTGTGTGATTCAAGCGCTGGTAGGCTACTGTTTTTCTTTGTCCGGAGGCTATGAACACATGAAGCCTACAGAGTGGGTGAGTGTGAGGCTTGGGTGGAGAAGAAACCCTTGATACAGCTCCTCCTTTGGAAGACTTGATCTATGTATTGTTAAAAGATCTTTTCTGCAATCTAATATGAAAATACTACCTAGGTGTAGTTAAGACCTCTCCGTAAGGTGCTATGGGAAGGACAACACTAAATAATAAGTATGGAGTACGGAAAGCTATTGTGCAATCCCCCGCGTGGCAGGTCAATAAGCTACCTTGTTTGCTGCCCCTCAGAAGATGCTCTTCTGAATATCTGTCCCTGCAATTAGCGCCTTGGAATTTTTAGCTTTGAATCGCATCGCAATCTCAGCTTTGTATGGTACAGGAGATCCTGGTCGCTGCGAAGGTACCGAGAGGACTTTTCAGGAGTCAACGTCGAAGGATCATTATCATTAAGATTGTACATACCCCTTACTGATTCTCATGGTGGACCTTGTTACGTGCATGTATAGCATCACGTCTAGCTTAGTTCATTTAGAATGCGACTATCATTGCTTTGCATTACCTTAGCATTCTTCGCTAGTCAACCCGCCAACCATCGGGAATTGTGAGGTGCCTGAGGCTGAGGAGAATTTGGCGTGCTCGGATGCTTGCAGTTCTGCCAGTAAAGAATAAGTTCTGATGACGTCTCAGACATACTGCCGCTTGATGTTTCACCCGCAGATAGTTGAATCCATTGTAAAAGGTACGGACCACAGAGGGATCTTCGTCTGATGCTCATCCAAACCTAAATCTCCTGGTCCCCACAGAAGCTTCCTAGACTTCTACTATGGACTTCTAGCGCGCCCAGTTTTTCATCTAAATTAAAGGTTTGATCAATCTACTCAGTTTATCGATTCTTTGATTATTTCCATGCACTTGAGATATGGTTTCCGCGATACTCATTGGGGCCTCGCATGGAAGTGTCTGTGCTACTATGGGCTTGTACAAGAATGCTAACATACATTAAGACTGAGAGGTATGCACTTTGTGAAATGTACGCCGAGGTCTGAAGAGGTGTCATTACTCGGTCATCGATGTCTCAATCTTCCGAATGATCCTAGCTGGATTCCCAGCAGCAAGATGGAAAGCAGGAACATCCTGTCGCCATCGTCATCAGTCACAGACCAGAAGGCAAAAAATGACCACAGCTGCTATGACTATAGACATACCTTAGTTACTACACTGCCCGCCCCAATCGTCGCTCCCTTCCCAATCGTAACCCCCGGGAGGACGATCACGTCTCCGGCCAACCAGCAATCCTCGCCGATATGGATTTCTTTTCCCAGCTCCGGGCCCTCAGTTCCATTGCGCACAGCGGGGTCCAGCGGATGAATTCCGCTATATAGACTGACGTTCGGACCTAGCATCGTTCGTGCCCCAATAGTGACAAGGCAAGTATCGATGATGACGCAGTTGAAGTTGATGAACACCCCTTCTCCTAGCCGCACGTTGAAACCGTAGTCGATCCGGATCGGTGCCTCGATCCATGGCTCTCGTGATAGAAGAGCATCGTCTTCGGCGGGGTCCTGTTTTGGAGGTGGAAGAGGAGTCTTGTCATCAATGATACTATCAACTGTCAGCTGGAGTTCAGTGAGTATGCGAGACTTGCTGCTCCCACATCTCAAGGTAGATTGTCGGTGTTACGAGACCATGTTCAGGATTGTACTCGGTATCATACACACTTGAGAATCTTTTTAATATCACTTACTCTTTCCAAAGCTCGATTTGTCGCCGGCGAGATACGTCACCGGCATTGTTGAATCGCTGACAGGCATGTTTACAGCGAGTCCGAGCAGCTATCAGGTCTGGAGTGAAGGCATAGTAGAGCTCCCCTCGGAGCATCTTCTCTTTCTCGGACGGCATCCCGGTGAAAGTCATATTACAAAGATATGGACCTGTAGAAATTGTGTTCTTTGTTGGTAGACCATGTTCGACTCCAGCGATTGAAGCGTCATATTGTGGTCGAGTGGGGAAGTGACAACAATAGCTCAGGAACAATCCCGAAAGTTGGACTAATCAATTCTCCCATATCCACAACAGATGCACTGGTATTGTTCTTGATCCGGCATAGATAAACATACACTATTGTTCTCTTTAATTTGCAGAAGATGCATTGATATTTTTTTTCTAGTTCATATTCAAGCTCTATACGTCCAGCCAAAGTTATAATAATCCAAGCTATGACGCTTCTCTGAGACCACCACAGTTTCCGCCGACAGACCAAAAAAGCTGTCTACCACCACTACCACTTCCACACTCTCACCCCGACCGGAAACCAAAATGACCAAACAAACCTCATCTCAAGACGAAAGCGTCTCCTCTGGCAACCAGCCCGACACCAACAACATCACCAGCACACCAGGCTGGCGACCCGCGCGACCCGCGCCGCCGCGATCCCGATCCCCTCCCCCCTCGACCCATCCAACTATCCCAACGGCGAAAAGTCACTCGCAGGCATATCGCTACGCGCCTTCCTCCTAGGCACAGCCCTCGGCATCTCGACCAGCATCACGCTCTACCTCCTCCTCATCTCCCCGCACCCGCTGTGGCGCGTCCCCTTCTTCATCTCCTCGCTCGCCCTCTTCCACTTCCTCGAATACTGGGTCACAGCGCAGTACAACACCCGCTACGCCACGATCTCAGCATACCTCCTCTCCTCGAACGGCTGGGCCTACAACGCCGCGCACAGCTCCGCCGTCGCCGAGTGTCTGCTCTCGCACACCCTCGGCCCGCGCGATGCATACACTTCGCTGACCGCGTCCGTCAACGGGATCAAGTGGCAGGTCGTGCTTGGGATTGCACTGATGCTGTGTGGTCAGACGATCCGCACGCTGGCGATGAAGCAGGCGGGGACGAACTTCAACCATACGGTGCAGGTGGAGCGGCAGGAGGGCCATACCCTTGTGCGACACGGGGTGTATGCGGTGCTGCGGCACCCCAGCTACTTTGGGTTCTTCTGGTGGGGGATGGGGACACAGCTGGTGCTGGGGAATGTGGTTTGTTTCGTTGGGTATGCGGCTGTGTTGTGGAACTTCTTTTACAATCGGATCAAGCGTGAGTGTTTTCTTCCGTCTGTTGCTGACTGCTGGTGGATCGGGCTAACGGAACGTAGGGGAGGAGAAATTTTTGGTATGCTTCTTTGGAGACGAATACGTCGAGTACAAGAAGAGAACTTGGGTTGGCATTCCTGGGATCTTCTGATGCCTATCTTCAAAAGATTATATCCCATTTTTATATTGTACACTTGGAAGAAAAAGGAGGATGAAATGTGTATCAATCATATATAGAACTTGCCAGAATGGTATCACCATATACAACCGAACGCCCTGCGCTATAGATCCAACGCGACAGACCATGACGCGCGCTTCGAACCCGTCTAAAGTTTACTCTCCGGTGCTACTGCCCCGACTGCACCGCTCATGTAGGCGCCCTCTGCATGACTTCCCGAGTCGGCATCTGGAGCTGTATTCCCAAAAAGAACCAGTTCACGACCGCCTCGTGTACTCCACCAGGTGACGCAGTAATGGGCGCGGTCGACATCCATCTCACCACTACTCAACGCTTCCCAGAACCGCTCAATGCACATTTCACGCATCTCTGGTGTGCGAATCGTGTGAATGAGATTCGCGGTCAGTGGCAGCCACTCCTCGAGGTCCTCCACGCGCAGGAAACAGAGGCTGTCTATCAAAGCGAGGATCAAGGCAGCTTGCTCGGATACTGGCGGGGCCAGGCCCTGAGCACTTGCTGCTGCTCCTTGCGTGGATTGCGGTAGCATCTTGTCGGATGCGTTTAGAGCTCTTTCATGCAGAACTTCGAGGAGTATAGATGGCAGCAGCGGCTGGCTATTTGCAACGAGCGACGGAGGGGCAGTCACTTTGATGACGGTCTTGAAGGCGAGGCGGAATTGGCGGGCGGATAGATTGTCAGGGAAGACCTTTGAAACATGAGCACACCTCAAAAGACCGGAAAGCCAAAGCCGGGACTTACTGCAAAGAGATTGTCGATGTAGAAGGGAAGATGCCGAGCTGCTATGGCTGCATTTCCCGGGATGGCAAAGACAGCAAGAGCCACACTATGAGCGGCCTCGAAAATCTCGAGTAAATGGTTATTCCCGCCTGCTGCGAGATACGGTAGTGTTGCTGAAATTAGAAGCTCCTCACTGCATTTCGGAGACAAAACAGGGGTGAAAAGCTCGACGGTATTCAAAAAATAGAGATCCAGACAGCGCTCAATAGGGTGCTGTGGAATTTGACCAAGCTCACTTGGTTTGACACTCTGTAGGAAATTCTCCGCCAGGTCCGGATACTGTGAGAGGATATCCACGGCTGTAAGGGTCACGAACGTGTGTTGCGAAGATGCATTTTGACCGAGCCGACATGAGACAAAGTAAAAGTTGCGAAGTATGTGGAGAGCTTGCATTGAAAGGTAGGGTGCAGCTTAGCGAGTCAGTATGCAGAACACAGCCAATTCTATCGGTGGAGGACACTCACTTCTATCAGCTGAAAGAATGTGATCGTTGAGTACCCTTCCCAGGACGGCGCGGAGGACAATCACAACAGAATATAGGCAGTTGCGGAGCAGCTTCCACAGGCTTGGAATAGTAGATTTGAGCGACTCAGAATCCAGAAACTCGAGTTCTTCTGATGCGTCGATTTCAGATAACTTATTCTGGCGCCATTGGACCATCAGCGTGCGACCAAAATGAGCAATCTGATCTACATATTGAGAAACCAGGGAGGGATCGATGGCATTTTCAACTGAATGCGCAATCAGTCGAGACAAGGGGCCCAAAGCTGATATCAGAGGACTCGAGATGATTGCCGTCACCCGACCGAAAGTGACTGACTGTGATGACCACTGAAACCGCTTCCCCGGTGCTTCAACAATATCCTTATCAATGGTTCCGAGAAAATATCCTCCTTCTAAACCCTCAGGGGAGAAGTATGTTGTCTGAACCAAAACAGGAAGCAAGCGGTCGTAGCTGATTTTGCTCCTCTCGTGATCCGACAGAAGCTCAAAAGTATGATTCAGGACCGAAGTGATACACTGCGCATCAATGCCGTCTCGGGAATCCAGCTCCTCAAGTGCAAGTTGCGCAGCTGTGACGAGTGCCGACTCGAGTTTCGTCCGTATGCTCCACGGTAAGCCTTGTCTGTTCTGACCTTCAAATCCGATCAGAATACCACCCAATAAGAGTAAATGTCTCCAACGTGGTGATTTCTCATCCGCTCCGCTCACTACTGCTTTCACCCAATCTTCGCGTTCAATCTTCCTAGGTTTTGCGTATGGTAATCTAGGTTCCACCGGCTCGTCGTTTTGTAATATCGCAATGGCCGCTGTATTGAAGACACTGATTATTCGCCGACATGCTTGTAGGTCAACAGGCTGTTCCCATATCGCTGGAGCGGAGAGCAATTGTGAGGCAAGCAAGGTGATATTGAGGGGATTTCCCAGGAGAGTTAGAAGGCTGGTCGCAGTGGGCAGGAGGCTGAAAGCAATATGTCAGTCAAGCACCTTGTGCATAACTTGGGTGAACGTGATCTTACTTGATAGCGTCTCGAAGCTCCGATGTCGATTGAAGTGACCGCAAGAGAGCACCCAGAGAGCGTTCCGTCGCCATGTTAGACTCACAATGCGAGCGGCACAGCTGCCACCCGTATCATAGGAAATGGGTCTGTGTGACGAAGAGAAAGTCAAGATGTACTCCGTACCAAGATGATCAAATGCAACGGGACTGGCTGCCGACATCACGCTTACCGCGGAGACCACAGATCGGCTGCCGAGGTAAGGGTGACGACGTGCAAACAGTGCAAACAACCCACCACAGCTTCACCTGTTCCTACTCCGTACTCCCTATCTTATCGGCTGGAGCTATCTGGATTGCTTTCCACATATCGCGTCGGGTCAAGGTTCGCGAAGATGTTTTTACTCTGCTTCCCTAAGCCGTAAGGGTGATATGGCAGAGAAGGTCTTTGCCAGTATCCATCCCTGAGCACAATGGCCAACAACCGCGTTCCGATCAACTACCAGACACCACCTTTTCCGGCGCTATACGATCCTGTGCCGACCCATCATCCTCCACAGGTCTACTATCTCTACTATACACGAGACATTTGGCGATTCACCCTCTACTGGACTTTTATATTTTACGCAGCTAGCCACCTGGCCGTCGCTGCATGTGCTGTGGTCACTCAAGGTCGGAATTGGAGGGTTTGCCTGGCCGTGCCGCTGGTGTTCTCTGCCATTGCTGCACTGGAAGCTCTTCTAGCTGGGAGTATTATTGGCCTCATGTGAGTACTTTCGGTTCACCGATCTCTAACAGCAGATTCGGGCTAATTGGGTTTGAGGCTCGGTGCTGTCTACGAAGCGGGTAATTTCAGGATGTCCACATGGATTCCCATGATATGGGGCGGTATCAACGTCCTGGTCCTCATATTGTCTAGTTTTCCCATGCAAGGTGGCCTATAATCGCTCGGTTCAATAGAGACTTAGGCCTAAGCTTTGGCAGATCGATTAGACCCTTGAGTTGAGCAAACGCCGAATCTCAATGAGCTGCAGAACTGCCGTCAACCGGATTCCCAGCAAAACGGAATCTCTCGACAACAAGCGACTATTCGCATAACAAACGGTACAAAATATTCTACCACAGGATATATCACATTTGCAAAAAATTGTTCTCCTGAGAAAACGCCTAGCTGCATCCGAAAGCTGAAATATCGCTCGCCTTTACGCCATATCCCCGTCGAACTCAAATAAACATCCGAGCACGCGGTGTCTCATCTTCGATACGGGTTGTCGGGCGTGCTGCTTTGCAGACCGGGGAGCCCCGCGGAATTTAGAGATGCAGCCAAAGAGGCAAAATTTTGAGGAGAAATGCCCTGGGAAAGGAGCTGCTTTTGTAGCTCCGCAAGGTCAACATTCAACGGCGGAGTACCTGACATAGCAGGGGGCATGGGGAATCCAGGAATGCCTGTGGTCGGAGGAAAGTTGTATGCCTGAGAGGGGTTTTGCTGAGACAAAATCGCTGCCAGGCGGCCAGGGTCCATTTGAGGCATGGATGCAGGCATGCCAACTTGCGGTGCTGATTGTGGAGCACCAATACCTGGTAACAATGAGCCAGATCCTGCCTGCAGAGAACCAAGACCGGGGGGAGCAATCTGGATCCCGGGGAGAGTCTGGCCGGTAGTATTCTTCTGGTCAACCAAGCTTTCAGCCTCATCTTGTGCCTCTTGCTCTTCTTCTTCACGCATCTGTCGCCTTCCAAACCCACGACTCCATGTTCCTTGGGCTTCGGCAGCCTCCTCGCCGATGTGAAATCTATCTTTCATGTAACTAGTCTCCCCTGGTCTTGCTCGAGACCAGAAGCGCGTGAAATTGTCTTTCGAGCCCGACGCCAAGATATGACCCAGAGGATGCCAGTCGAGTGACCAGATTGTCGCACCATGGGCATATTGGATCCGATGGGCAGGGTAGATGACCTGTGCTGGGGTATTCGCAGGATCAGGACTGTCGTACGGGGCAATTGTAGGAACCTGTCCTGATGGAAGGTTGGGTTCATCAAGTAAATAGTGGTATAATGATCCATCCTCGCTCCCTGTGGAAATGAGGGAACTGTGAATAGGATGCCATGTAAGAGATGAAATAGGCTTCTCATGCCCCCGGAGAATGCAGATATCCCGCATCATACGTAGATCAAATACTCTCGCAGTCTGATCACGCGATGATGTAGCGAGAAGGTTGCTGTTTACTCGCGAGAATCGGGTAGTCGTGACGGTATTCTTATGACTGTGGAGGGTCGTCAAGCACCTAGCGGTACGAGGATCCCAAAACTTAACCTGGTGGTCTTTCGATCCGGACACCAGAAGGCCTTTTGTCGGGTGCCAATCGCACGATTTGACGTCCCAGTTATGACCTGTGAGAACGGTGTCGGCAGTTCGTGAGGTGAAGTCGAAGATCTTTAGGGTCGTATCATCAGACGCGGACAGAAATTTGGTGTCGCTCGGTGACCATGCTAAATCTCGTACGGCATCGTGATGTGCATCATCGATCGTCTCCACATTGTTGAAATTCGGTCGCCAGTATTTGATGTCGCCCTTTTGTCCTCCTGAAATCAGCCAGTCATGGCTATGCGACCACGCTATCGAAGTTACTCCTGCTTGTACCTGATCATAATGTGCCTGCTCAAATGATCAGCAAAAAACCACCTCGTGTACGATGATTAGTCGGGTGGAAGCAAACGCACGTCCATGACGGTCTCAAAGTTGAAAGCCGTTCCGTTCCATAGCATAAATTCGCCAGTATGTCCTCCTGTCAACAACCGTCTTCCTTCGGGCGTCCATCTCACAACTGTGATAGGTTTCTTCGATTTACCGATCGACTGGTGTAGATGCCGCACTGGTATCGTATCTGCAGGAGAATGGATTCGCGCCAACGGCGGAAGCATCTTTGAAAAGAGCGGCCGGTTAGTTGACATCGTTCACTTGGGCGCGGACGTCCGTAGACAGCGCGTATTGACTCACATCGACTACATAGCTTGCGCTTGGTCTCTCTGTCTCCATCCGATGACCTCCTTTGTATCGTGGTTGTCGTGTGCGCATCCATTGTACGAGCGATGAGCCGTAATCAGTAACCAGTCCTTTGAATTAAGAATTAGTGTCGCAACGACGAAGTCGGGAATTCCTTCAGAGAACCTACTCGGACGTCGGGGGCCCACAATTCCACCCTCGTATGGTTTCCTTCCGTAAGGCTGGGAGTCGCCGGACGGATCATCGTAAAAAGCCATCGCTACACGACTTCGTCTGGAGATGGATTGCTCAGGACAGGGCTGTAATCATGACAGGGAAGGTGAAGAGTCGGGCTAAAAAGAATTGACAAGCTTTGGTGCGTATCGCAGAAAGAGCTACTTTGAGCGAGAACGCATCAGCAGCCTGTAATGGCGAGCTCTGATCGAGTTCTTATTGTGTTTTGTCGTCGACAGCTAGAGTTTAGAAGTAAGGTATGACCGGGGCGGTCGAACCTCCGTCCGCAGAGTCTCCCCACTCGTCTCCAATTAGGATTAATGCTTGGCAATCAAACGGCGTCATTAAACATTGATCTAGAAGTCGTTTGAATGCCACTCTGCGAGACAAAAGATTACTTTATCAAATGTAAATTTACCAGAGACGACGATCCGCATTATCTGCGGACCGTATTACAACCTTCAACGTCCGGGACTCTAAGCAGCCAGTATCGAGACCATAACATGAAGCACCAGAAATTCTCCATGTATGGTACAAGCTTATTTGTCGCAACTCTCTTGCTCTTGTTCGCTGTCGCTCCAGCTTCTCAAGGACATCTAAACGTTTTGCCATCCCAATGCCGTTATGACTCCATAGAGGTTTCTTTCCTCATCCGAAAATGGACTATACAGCAGTACTCCTAACTAGCCCAGCAAGGTAGTCCTTGTCTTATGCTTCGCGTAGCTAGACACGGGCTTCTCATCTGGTCTTGCCGCTCTTGCTTCCGATATAGGTTCGTTCAAACATGGGGTCGTACAAACTCATAATGTTCCTGGCAGACGGATCCGCCGCAATCCATTCAGGTGTATGGGCGCAAGACACTCCTGGAGTCGATTCAGTCCAGCTGACTGATTCCATAAGCACTCGATGGGATATATTTAAGTGAACAATAAAGATCATCCTAAAAGATTGAGCATCGATCTTCTTGTAGGCGATAAGTGGCATCAGCTCGATAGGTTCCATATTCATTACCTGGCAACATATTATATTAATTGTTAGTGCACTCGACGTCCTGATGCTATTCTCCTGGGTATTGAGATAGCACGGCGCCAGGTCCCAATCAAGGCGAGAGATAAGAAAAGAAGGACCTAGACTCTGTCCTTAGTGCAGCAAGCAAACAGGAATAGCCAGTAATTGAGCGATAATGAATCGAATCAAGAACCTTGTGCTGTCGGAGACGATGTCAACGGCGTCTAGGCATGCATTTGGCGCAATGGTGATGCATTGGTGCGTGGGTCAAGCGCATGCGGGCGTGACGGAAGCCCGCAAGGTGACGATTAATAACGGTTCTCGCCGGTCGAGAGGTACCTTAGACTTTCATACCCCGGTCGCCCTCGAGAGGCCTTTGCTCAGACATTGCTGCGAAATGCGTAACCAAGAAACCCCACCATGGTGCTCTTGAAATATATTTATCTCGCCTACGTCCTTTCTTGGTATCACCATCCAGATTCATCTTCCTTGTCATGGTAGAGCAGAGCGAAGCTCAATTGCTGGTCTGTCACTTCAGTGTTCCGAGGTATCTCCGCAATTGAACTGCGAATCAACTAGAGCTCTCCATCCTGTCACTCGTTTTCCTCGGAGACTTCCATTTCGTCACTCACACTGCTGAGGTTTGTGCGACACTTCACGAAAATGAGTGCTTCCGAAACAGTATCTTCGTCGGCCAGTGCTGTTAGCACGAGCTCTGGAGGGTCGACTCCGTCGAAGCTCGTCAATGGAGCTACCCGCAATGGTTCCGCAGCAACTGGCAACGGCTCTGCCGGGACAGCCAAAGGGAAGAGGAGGAGCAAATATCGCCATGTTGCAGCTTATCATTCGGAGCTGCGGCATTCGAGCCTCAGTCGAGAGACCAGTGTGGTCCCAAGTTTTCTTGGATTCCGGAATCTCATGGTGATTGTCTTAGGTAGGTATTCCGCCTGCATCGCCTTTTCACATGCTTGGTGCTAACATGGCTCCCCGTGTTTTAGTGGCGATGAATCTTCGCCTGATAATTGAGAATTTCATGAAAGTAAGCTTATATGGTATATTCCGAAAGCAGCGTACTCTGGTATTCTAACAAATATCTTCTTGCAGTATGGCGTCCTTATCTGCATCAGGTGTCATGACTATCGGAAGCAGGATGTCGTTCTTGGGTCGATCCTCTTTGCCCTTGTTCCATGCCATCTCTTCCTTGCGTACATCATTGAATTGGCTGCAGCTCGGCAGTCCAAGCAAACTGTCGGTCGACAGAAAAAGGATCTATCGGCGGAGGAGTGGGAGCGCGAACAGCAGGCCTTCCGCTCAACCTGGCGGTATACAGCCTTCTTCCATACCGTAAACGCTACCCTGTGTCTCGCCGTGACCAGCTTCGTTGTTTATTTCTACATCAATCATCCCGGAATCGGTACAATTTGTGAACTCCACGCAATCATTGTGTGGCTCAAAAATTGCTCCTATGCATTTACGAATCGCGATCTGCGGCAGGCAATGCTCAACCCCTCTGCGGAGTCTGCTCTCCCGGAGATCTACTCCACATGCCCGTATCCAAGAAACATCACGCTTGGGAATCTTACATATTTTTGGCTAGCACCTACGCTTGTATATCAACCGGTTTATCCTCGATCGTCGCATATTCGATGGTCTTTTGTTGCCAAACGGCTTGCCGAGTTTTTTGGTTTAGCTGTTTTCATATGGCTTCTCTCGGCCCAGTATGCAGCTCCGGTCTTGCGAAATTCCATTGACAAGATCGCTGTGATGGATATTGCGTCAATCCTGGAGCGCGTCATGAAACTGTCCACAATTTCTCTTGTCATTTGGCTCGCCGGATTCTTTGCGCTCTTCCAGTCGCTGCTGAATGCTTTGGCGGAGGTCATGCGGTTCGGAGATCGTGAGTTCTACACAGATTGGTGGAACAGCCCGAGTCTCGGCGCATACTGGCGGTCATGGAACCGGCCGGTGTACCTCTTCATGAAGAGGCATGTTTTCTCGCCGCTGGTAGGAAGAGGCTGGAGCCCTCTTGCGGCGAGCTTTATGGTCTTTTTCCTCTCTGCAATCCTGCATGAGATGTTGGTGGGGATCCCTACCCACAATTTGATCGGTAAGAACTTGGTTCTCTTCGCAAATGATAAAACTGGGATCACTGACGGCCACATAGGCGTTGCATTTGCGGGGATGATGTTCCAGCTGCCATTGATTGCTGTGACAGCTCCCTTTGAAAAGGTGAATGACGCCTTGGGCAAGATTGTAGGGAACTCGATCTTCTGGGTAAGCTTTTGCCTCGTTGGTCAACCGCTCGGTGCGCTGTTGTATTTCTTTGCATGGCAGGCGAAGTACGGAAGTGTCAGCAAGATGCGCGTTTAGATTTAGAGCCACCACTATATCATATATCTGAGATGTAAAAAATTCACCCAGTTGCTCGGTTCTTTCCAGATGCTCGGTCGAGATGGTGAGTCAGAAGAAACCGCAACCTTGAGGCAGCGTTCGGATATTTTGGATTGCTTCCATGCATATTGAAGCGGATAAAACGAGCTCCTGGCTTGGCTGCAGGACGGATGCGGCCGTTCGGATAGGTTGATGCTCCGAATGGACAAGCAGTTACCCCGTCTTCCGGGAACCTGACGTCAGGCCAGAACAATATAAAAGCAACGACTGGGACAGAGTTTAGTTTCTCTGCCATTTAAGCTGCTCCAACATAGCTACAATAGTATTTTTGTTCAAGTTATAGCAGATTATCCTGTTATTCATCTCCGTCGAAATGGTTGCTATCGTTGTACCAGAAAACTACGGGTACGTCCTCCACTGTGTCGAAGTCACAAAAACAATCGATAATATGAAGCTCATTGAAATGCCAGTGCCGTCGTCGCAGTCGCCCTGGGAGCTATTCCAGTGCTTAGCTTCATTCATGGAACCATCGTGACCGGTCTTCGGAAGGACGCCAAGGTCCCCTATCCTCACACCTATGCGACGGTTGAGCAATGCAAGTCAAATGTGCGCATACCTTGAACCTGTTTGTTCATGTCGCGATGTAAAGATTATGAATGCTGAATCCATGATGCAGGCCAAGGCCGAGCAATTCAACTGCGCGCAGCGAGCCCACGCTAACTACCTCGAGAATATGACTCAAACAATGCTCTTCACCCTCTTCGCGGGTCTGAAATACCCTCACCTGGTAACAGCAATTGGCGCTTCATGGGTGTTTTTCCGAACTCTCTACTTGTACGGCTATGTGTACTCGGGTAAGCCACAAGGCAAGGGAAGGATGCTGGGAGGTTTGTTCTGGTTTTCTCAAGGCGCCCTGTGGGCTCTGAGTGTGTTTGGTGTTGCGAAGGATATGATCTCTTTCTGAATTTGAGAGTCATTCTGCATCTCACAAATTATGTTATATATATATGTACGTTAAACCTCCATAGGGACACTACCAATAATGGACCAACGTGTTATCTTCTACAGTTCTACCCCAGTCTTTAGCTGCGCAGAGTAGCTTAGCTGTGGCTGACCCCACAGTCGGAGACGGAGGAATACAGCACCGACGTGGCCTATGCGTCAGTCCCTATCCAGATTGATACGCAATTTTTACGTGGGAAAGAATCTAGATAGAGTACAACTCTAAATATAGTCGCGAGCGGCTTCCATTTGAGAATAATTGAGATTTGATTCTCAAGTAATTGATTGGGCTGTGTTAACCTCAATTGGATAATATACCACATTGCTCAACTTACTTCATCTCTTCAATTACCGTCATACCCCGCATATACCCCTCGGTCCCCTCCATCGCCCACGATGTCTTCCAAGTCGCAATTGACATATGCTGCTCGAGCCAGCAAGCACCCCAATTCTTTGGCAAAGAGGCTCTTTGAGATTGCCGAAGCAAAGAAGACGAACGTTACCGTCTCTGCTGATGTGACGACTACCAGAGAACTCCTGGACCTCGCTGACCGTACGGAAGCTGTTGGCTCAATTATACATGGCATCTAGAAATGGACTAATCAACTCCTGATAATACAGATCTCGGTCCCTACATCGCCGTCATCAAGACACACATCGATATCCTCACCGATTTCAGCGTCGACACTATCAATGGCCTGAATGTCCTGGCTCAGAAGCACAACTTTTTGATCTTCGAGGATCGCAAATTCATCGATATCGGCAACACCGTCCAGAAGCAATATCACGGCGGTGCTCTGAGAATCTCCGAATGGGCTCACATTATCAACTGCAGCGTTCTCCCCGGCGAGGGCATCGTCGAGGCCCTGGCCCAGACCGCATCCGCGCAAGACTTCCCCTATGGTCCTGAGAGAGGACTCTTGATCCTGGCAGAGATGACCTCCAAGGGATCGCTGGCTACGGGCGAATATACCAAGGCGTCAGTTGACTACGCCCGCAAATACAAGAACTTCGTTATGGGTTTTGTGTCGACGCGGGCCCTGACAGAGGTGCAGTCGGATGTGTCTTCGGCCTTGGAGGACGAAGATTTCGTGGTCTTCACGACGGGTGTGAACCTCTCCTCCAAGGGAGATAAGCTTGGACAGCAATACCAGACTCCTGCATCGGCAATTGGACGGGGCGCTGACTTTATCATCGCCGGTCGAGGCATCTATGCTGCTCCAGATCCGGTTGAGGCCGCACGGCGGTACCAGAAGGAGGGTTGGGAAGCTTATATGGCCAGAGTTGGGGCAAGTCATGAATTCCCTCTGGGAGCAAAAGTATAGTACCCAGTATGACTCGTGTGGAGGAGGCTACATACAATGTGCCTGCCATTAAACGATGAGCTCCTTCGTATTGGCCCTTGTAATGCCATCATTTCCGCGCCCCCAATGGTCAAGATTTTTCTCTTGCTAAATGCCTGGCTGTCAACTGGCCAGTAAGATAAGCTTTACCGGAGACGCCAAGGCTTTATCTATGTAGCCGATAAGCAAAATGGGCTGATAGCTTAATACGGAAGGTCCCTTTGACAAGTCAACCCGTGCAGAAGAGATAACAGTTTTGCATCATGCATCATGCATCATGCATCGATGTCTCGTCTCAGACAGAATAAGTCCCTCAAGTCCATCGATTGACCTAGATCTGTTGCCGACAATACCTCCCGACAATACCTCGATTGGGACAGCGCACGCCGCAAATTGACGCCTTCCAATCAAATCCCTCTTCGGTGATCGACAGTTTAGGATCATCCCCTCACAGTCGCCCAGACTCACGGTGTTACGGTGGCGCGCTATGGCTTTCTTTGCCGGTCAGGCTCCGCTCACTAGACAGCGGAGAAGGAGGGGGATCGATAGGGAATAATAGGATCTAGGTAGAGTACTCCAACCAAAGATACGCGGATCAACGCCCCGGCATTGGTTAGTATACCCCAAGCTCGTTTAGGTGTCCCCTTCTTTCATTCATGTTTATCATGATTTGTCTAAGTGCATCCCTAGATCCAGTCGATTATTTGGATAAATGGATAGGTGCACTCCACAATGTCTGATTGGCTCGTCGCGTGTTCTCCTCAGTTCCCCCATTCTCCTCACGTTACATTGACAACGGAATACTATTGCCTATGGTCCTGTCCGATAAGCTTGCTCCATCGCCTCCACTACGTCAAGTGGAGTATCAGACACGAGCTCTACCCCAGATATCGCCTGCTTATCGCTGGTCGCTTTGTCATGCCAGTACAGATCACATCGGCAATTCCGATAACAGATGGTGCCATCGTCTTTCCGAGAGATGAGGGGAAGTATATGAAAGCCCCAAGTCTCCCTACCTTCTTCTTGCCTTGAATCCATCTTTCAACGTTTCATTCCCCTCCCAACCTGCGACACGCTTCATCTTCAAAATGGCCGAGGAAAAGGCTCCCCGACCCACCATGGATCCGAAGTTGGAGAAGCACGCTCATGATGCGGATGAGGCGATGAAGGCCTTTGAGGGTATAGAGGGCGAGTCTATTACCCTCGATGAAGAAACGAACAAAAGACTTTTGAAGATTATTGACTGGCATATGATGCCGATCATGTGCCTTGTGTATGGGATGAATTATTTGGATAGTATGGGCCAACGGATTATTCTCGCACAGTATAGCAGTGACTGACGGCTGCCAGAAACTACCTTGTCGTATGCTAGTGTCATGGGAATCAAGAAGGATATTAATTTGAAGGGCGATGATTACCAATGGTTGGGGAGTTTATTCTACTTTGGTGCGTACGTCGAATATAGTAGGGATTTTGCCTCTGACCATTACAGGCTACTTGGCATGGGAGTATCCGACCAGTCGACTTCTCCAGCGTCTACCCCTAGGCAAATACTCTGCAGCCTGTATCATAATCTGGGGCACCATCTTGTCCTGCTTTGCTGCTGTCAGCAACTTCACTGGGGCCATTGCAATTCGGTACGGGCAGATCATGCTCCTCATCAGCGACAAACGCTGACTGTATAGGTTCTTCCTGGGTGTTTTTGAAGCTTCCGTTACCCCCGGCTTTGCTCTGTTGACTTCCCAGGTAAGATAGCCACTTCCGACCTGATGAGATAATTCCACTCTAAACTATGCTATAGTGGTATACCAAGCAAGAACAGAACAGCCGAGTCAATATATGGTTCAGCTTCAATGGCTGGGGCCAGATTCTCGGCGGCTTGACGGCATACGGCATCGCAGTTGGTACGGCGAAGCATGGTTCGGCCATCGAGCCATGGAAGATTGTGTTCCTCTTCACGGGGCTGCTCACGGTGGCCTTGGGAGTAATCTTCTTATGGGTCGTTCCTGACAGCCAGCTCAATGCTCGCTGGTTGAAGAAAGAGGACCGGATCCTGGCCGTGGCGCGTGTCAAGGTCAACCAGCAAGGCATCGGCAACAAACATTTCAAGCTCTACCAGGTGAAGGAGGCACTCCTGGACCCAATGACCTGGGCATTCTTCTTCTACGCACTCATTGCAGATATCCCTAATGGTGGAATCACCAACTTCTTCAGTCAGATGGTGAGTTGTGCATCTTGATACTTCTGTTGCTCTTCTGACTATCGTTAGATTTCCAGCTTCGGTTACACCGCTGAGCAGAGTCTCTTGTACGGTACTCCAGGCGGCGCCGTCGAGGTGGTCGCACTTCTTGTGAACGGATATGTGGGCCAGATCACCGGACAACGGATCCTCTGCAGTACTGGCGGTCTCATTACCTCGATCATCGGAATGGTCCTCATCGTTGCCCTGCCGTTATCGAACAACGTTGGCCGTCTGATAGGTTACTACATGACCCAAGCGAGCCCGACGCCATTCGTGGCGCTCTTGTCTCTTGTGTCTTCAAACATCGCTGGCTACACTAAAAAGACCACCGTGGCTGCGCTGTACCTGATCGGTTACTGTGCCGGGAACATCATCGGTAAGATATGCTCATTTTAATTTCAAAGAATGGTACTAAAGCATGGATAGGGCCTCAAATCTTCCGCCCCAAGGACGCACCCCGATACGTACCCGCCGAGATCACCATTATCGTCTGCTGGGGCGTTTGCCTGCTGCTGCTTGTCTTTATCTGGTGGTGGTACAACAAGGAGAACAAGCGGAAGGCTCTCATCCGGGCGTCACCGGACTACGTGAGTCTAGAGAATCAAGCGTGAGTTCTTTCGTTGCCTGTTCTTCGGCGATGCATCCACTGACATTGATGAATCAGGTTCCTCGATTTGACGGACGGAGAGAATCATGAGTTTATTTATGCGCTGTAGCTCTATTCCTAGTTATGAGGTTGATATATAAATCCCCATTTTATGTCTGCATGCAATGCTGTCTTTCTATGTGGCAGCGTGTCATGTTGGCAACATCAAAATACGGTCCTCGGTGCCTTTGGTCAAAAATGTAGATTATAGGCAGTTTCATTATACAAAGCAGTAATCCAAACTGTAGGCTGAATGTCAGCCCGACACACATAGGAGATCTGCCCATCACATACATACAATAACACATCTCATACATGTCCACCCTCTCTCCCACAACGCTGTAAACCATCCAGAAGGGACACCTTGAACGAGCTCCCTCGCTGCATATATAAATAAGAAATGAATTTGTGCCACACACACACCTTTGTTTTCTCAGTATGAGTTAGTATCAAGCAGCTACAAGAGCAGCGAAGCAAATAACTAAGCAAGCGTACCTGGTCGAGACCTTGAAGAACCGAAGGTCATACTCATCGTTTATCGCCAGAAGGGGCGTTGCTTGTCTCCAGCCATATATATATAGAAGTTATGCACAACGGACACTGTACACATGAAGACCATCTTTGTTAGTATCATTCGCAGATATCTACATATACAGATAGTGTAAGTAAGCATACCTCGTTCATCAAACACCAAGATCCTTTAGGACAGGACAAGGACAAGGCCTAGCAGAAAGTATCGTCAGCTAATTTTCACCGCACCACACACAAAGGCTCAAAATGTAAGACTTACCTTTGAATCAAAGATAAAGAGACTCGTTACCAGAGCGCACACAACGCATCTGATAACCCAGGCCCGTTCCCAACCACCCAACCAAGGGCCCGTTTTATGTCGCTAGATCTAGAGGCATATTCGGTTTGGTATGCCCTGGTTAGTATTTCTTTGTGGTTTTGACAGTTGATTGGTTTTGTTTGTTTGTTCGTTCTCTGTCTTGGTTTTTCTTCTGGTATTTGGTTGTTGATTGGTGAGTGCTGGTGTTCGGGTTGGATGGGTAAGGAAGGGAGGGAGATGGTGAAGTACAGGGAGGCAGGTGCAGCAAGGGCAATAGGAAGGGAAGAGGTAGAAAGTGTAAATTGGTATTAGACGGTGATAGATGTTGTAGGAACAGGCAGAAGGGGAGAGCAGTGCAAGAGGGAAGCAGACAAGGGAAGGTCGGCTCGAGCTTCCACCAGAGGCAGTCGCTCAGAGTCACCTGCAGAGAGGAGAGAGATAGCTGTAAGAAGAAAGAAGGAAAGAGCAAAGAGGCATGGTAGGAGGGGTATTTATACCTGTGGTTTCCTCGCTAAAGAGCTTGCAGGTCTCAAGCGAGATGCGGTCGATATTCGTCATTCACTGTCATTGACTGTGAAGTGCCAAGTGGTTGAAGAACCACTACACAAGGACTTTGCTGGGGAGTTGCTACTACGGCAGAGTACAAAGATGAGTCGATACTGGAGCCTGGCTCTGGTTCGGTGAGACAGTGGGCTTTGTTTGCAGGCGGCAGGGAGATACAGTCTTGTTTCCGTGGTTGATGGGTTTGAGATGACTCTTTTGCTGGGCGAAACTCGCGCATGCCGTCTACGTCGTTCCTGTAAGTCGTGATAGAGCGCCATTTTTCGCAACTGGCTCGATAATTGTGTTCTATGGCTGTTACAGCTTCTCGAATGCGGATTATCAGATGCCGGGCCCTGGAGGCTGGGATCAATATGATCTACTACAACGTAGGAAGCTCGGTGGCATGCCATAAACACAATCATTCTAAGTATATTTCGAGACACTTAGCGAATGTAACGGTTAGCTCTTGGTTTTTTGTTAGACATTTTCACTGGTAGAGACAAAGGAAGCATCGAACAAAAGGCTCCAGGGAACTAGCCGCCAAGTTGATTGATAATCCATTGTTCTCAAATCTTGTGTACAAGCACAGTAAAAGAACTTCATAGAGAGCGATGAACAAATTCAGGATGCTTCTGGACAGCTTTCAAGAAGAGTATTACTCCGCTGGCATTAATGACTTGAATAGCGGACTTGCACTGACGACTTCAGCCATGTACGGATATTTCAAGTACTACTTCAAGACGCATATAGTTATCAAGAGTATCTAGTCACAATATGCTTCCTATGCATGGACATAAAAAGACTCGCTATCTCTACCAACAGCTGAGCGCGAAAATGGATATTCCGTCACCAACTTGCTCTATCGGATGTAAATCCCTAAAGCTGAACATTTTGTGCACTGTAAGCATCCTACTATGAGCCACCTAGATATGGAGAACCGATGAAATTGCATACAGTGACTACCACTATTACACGAATACAGGTGACGTAAGATGGAGCTACCATATACTACCTATTTGACCGTTTTGACGTCCATCTCTATGGTGGCTGACGGCCCGATCCTGGCACTCTACCACCTGGGCATAGATGAGGGCTACGCATGCTGGTCCATAGATGAGAAGGACAAAGTTATTCTTAAATGTCGAGTCGAAAGGAAGCAGCGTCTCTCAGACTTAACAAGTCTGCTCTATGCATATGGCGGAACCTTCCATGGAAGAACAATTCTCCTGTTCTCTCCACGAGATGTCCTCGAGACTGCACCATCTGGAATTATCAAAGTCTATTCAGATGGCTTGAAGTATCTGCTGCGCCTGATCATGCACTACACGCATGGCAGCAGAAATTAGGACAGAGAGCCAAACTTCAAACTCAAGTGAAAAGGTATATAATGGCTAGTCCGTTCAACGCACATGGACGAGTATGATCCCGCCTGTCATAACGCAGCTCAAGCAGACCCTTTTAAGCAACGATGAGACCACGAGAGATCTGGTTGGTTCTCAAAAGCCAGCCTTCAGATGGATTCGAAGTTTAATCAGACATGAACTTGATTGAGCTGTGGATGCCGGCTACTTATCCTTCTTGAGGAGTCGGCCGATCCCAGGAACCAAGGAATCAAAGATTGTGTGGTGTAGCACGGACCCAGTCCTCGATATGATCAGTATCAAAACTGGATCGGCCCTCATATTCAGGATTCGTAGTCCTCTTAAGTGCTCTGTAAACATTAACTCAGGTGAGAAGTCCAGATTGACCGCCTTGCAAAAAGAAAAAAGGAAATGGCGGTCAACTGTGTCAACCAATGGCCGCTAGGAGGAGGGGCAGATGATCCGTTGAGCAACCGCGGATGGAGGAAAGTCCATGCGCAGGAGTGGGCTGAGTGGGGGCAAGTCAGGTGGAGACTGGCGGCATTCTGCCCGAGAAAATTGTCTCGTATCAGGATTGTCCAGGGCCAGTCACAGGCTCAGCTTGTCCCTTGCTTTGGCAGGTAATCAAGGAGAGTTCAGTTGTAGCCTGTAGGAGTGTTTTCCATTCTTGTATTCCATATTGAAAGTTGCAACTTGCACATGACGTAGTCGTCCAGGGTCAACATCCTCCCATGCTGACACTGCATGAAAGAACCTCCCATGTTTCTTTTCTTTTGGTTCCTGAAAAGAATCATGCAGGGGGTCAGGGACAAGGGATCTAGACTCAGAGGAGGACGGGTGGATTCCGCTTTCTTCTAGTAGTGGAGGTATCCAATGGATAACTCTGTATGTAATGATGGTAATGGCAGACGGACGAACCCCGCAGCTCTTCTTTGCTTGAGCCTTCCTTTTTGGGACTTTCTAACCTGTTCTCGGGCGACTACGGGGGGCTTTTACCTCTTCAGTGCTCATGGTCATTTAAGGCGTCAACGCCGGCAACAATCCCGGCGACAATCGTTTCTGCATTCATTTGTCGATGAATGATATCAAGTAAAATGGGTCCTCTGTTGCCGCTATGGAGATGAAACTAGATACTCACACCACGATGATCGCTCTCTGTTGGCAACTTGGCACCGTCGGGCGCCTACAGTCGGTGAAGAGAATTCTTTCCTACCTTAGTCTCCTACAAGTATTTAGTTTCCAGTGTCGACTCACTTTGTGAAAGAAAAAGGATGAGGTTCCGTCTGGGAATCCCTCCCTAACTTGACACAGATCTTTCGTTGGTTTCAGGTTTCTATTTTCGACGTCATTATCATTATCAGTACTGTCTCTTTCTGCAACATAACATTCTTTATTGTCTTCCTGATCAAACGGACTGATCATTCATCATGAGTCCCTTTCAATGATCCTCCCGTGATTCGCCCCTCTCTTCTTTGATCTTCCCCTCCTTGAACCCTAACTTTATCCTACCGATTGGCTGCGTGATGCAAAAGAAGGGAACCTGATTCATTCATATAACCTTGGGATCACCACATTCGTCAGCGGCACAAAGACTTGTCTTTGAGTCGATGGTCTTTTGATCCCTCGCCTCTGACTGGTGCCATTTGATGGCAAAGCACATGTGAGCCTTTGCCGTCCCATTAACCTTTTGCTCCTCCCCGCCTGATGTTGAGCAGCGACTAGGAGCATGGCCGCTTCATTCACATGTCACGGAGCTATACTGCCCAGCGGCAATGCCCATATGAGCCACACTCATCACGGAAGCCACTCGATCCACGTAGACGAAGCTACCCTCGCTTCCTCTATCACAACCACTACCTCGACTTCTACAATAAGTCCTTCTCCTACCTTTGCTCTCACTCCTGGCTATGATCAACCTGCTTCGTATCTGGCAGTCTCAACTGTGCCATCCCTCAACATCACTACAAGAGCTATTTCGCCCTGCTTAAGCGACATTTCAGAGACCAAGACCTTCTACAGTACCGTAGAGGTCACTGAGTTTTGTGCAGATGCATGCGACTCGCCTACAGCTTTGGACTTGACGTCGAACGATTGCATGGACCAGATGGAAAACAGCTTGACGCATGCAGTCGGACAACCAGATACGGCGACGGTGACGCCTTCAATCCCTACTTCGAATAGCCATCGCACGCCCAAAAGGAAACGAACAGTGTCGCCGCCGTCCTCTGCAAAATCTCCTGAGCAGTATCGCTCCACATCTCGAAGCACTCGCCGGTCCACACCGACAAGCCGTCGCAGTTCTTTGCATTCGCACCGACGTGCAGCAACTACTACATCGCTTACACCGTCCATCGTTGATCGAAAGGATCCAGTGGCAAAGCGTCAAGACCTTTTGGCCCTCCATCGCGAGTCCTGTCGACTATTCCAGGACAACGAATTACAACAATCTTGCTTGCAGGAAAGACGATCTCCCCCAGCAACCCTTCCTTACATGACATCTTGCGCACGCCGAGCGTCTTCTGAATTCAGTTCACCGCCAGCTTCGCCGATTGCCCACGCCCGTTTCTCCACTTCAGCTCGAGAACCTGGACTGGACACCAGCCTGAGCCCCGATCATCAGACTTATGTACCCGCCGCCGATTCAATAGCCGACGGCGCTCCAAAACAGGCGACGTCGACAGTGATCGACTGGACATCACCATCTACTCGCAGGCGAGAATACAGGAAAATCGATAGAGCCAGCACCGGCGTCCGGGGATTCTGGCGACGAGTAGCACCCCGGTGGTGCCAATTCGGGGACAATCGCATGCCGTTCTTCGAAGAAGGGAAGAACGGCAAGGGCAACTACGAGGGCAGCGTCCGGAGGTTTCGAATGGACTTGCCTGACGAGCCGGCCGATGAGACGGCGAACAGATCCCGTAGAGGCCTGAAGTTCAAGAAGAAGTTGATCGTCCATGGATTTGCCCCTCGGCGGAGTACGTGTTAGTCTCTGAGCCGCGCCTCGACCTTTTTCATTTTGCATGTTGCGTCTTGTTTAGCGTGCTGCTATCGCTGGCGATGTGGTGCAGCAATGATACCACGATATTACACTGACAACTGCCTCGTTTTGCGCTTTGTCTGTGGACCCAGTTTATACGGGTGTTAGACTTGAGATTGTGATACCCTGCCACCATGGCATTTTCTTTTATCCTAGTCTTTAGCATATCAAGCATATCATATATTCTCGAAATGATTTTGATGAATGTACGCTTTTCTAGATCTCCAGTAATGTACGTAACACCCAACGCCATGCAATGCAATATATGGGTATCGATAGAAGCGTATAGCTATCCCCAGTCAGCCTAGTCCGCCCAGCCCAGTAGTCAGCCAAGCAACTACAGCAGCTCAAAATCATCCAGGTTATCCCTGTAGCGCATGATATTGCGCTTGATCTTGCTGCTATCCACCCAGGTGATATGATCCTCCAGATTGCGCGTAACCAGATAAGCCGGGTCCGTGACGACCTCCGGGCCACAGCGCACATGTCCCTGCTCGATATACGTCACAGCCTGTCAAAATCAGCACCCACCATTTTTCCAGTCAAAAAAGGAAAAGGAAAAGAAAGAACATACAGCCTTAATCGTCTCCACCATCCCCGTCCTCACCATCACAACAGCTAACCTCCTCCTACAAAACGCCGAAACCGTCACCTCGCGCTCCACCCGCGACAGACCGGCCCCTTGCTCGCGCGACTGCTTCAGCAATCCCATCCGCCACAGCTTATCCAGAACCTCGGACTCGAGCTTCTTGCGCAGCGGGTCCGAGTCCGGGTCGAGCTGGGAGAGCTTGTGGGCGAGTTGGCGGAGGGAGCCGGCCAGCGCATTGTAGGATTTATAGTCTGTGTCGTTTTGGAGGTGGTAGCGTTGGCGGATTTGGTGCTCGCGGTGGCCGCCGTCGGATTTGTAGTTTATGAAGTCGACCTTTCGGAGGAGTCTATTAAGGTTTGTTAGTTAGTTGGGCTGTTCTTTTTGGGGATCTGGTTGAGAGGGGAGGGGGGAGCGGACTTTTTCTCGTGGTATTTAAGTTGGCGGACCATTTTTGGTGATTATATGCTAGTTGTTCCTTTGAAAAAAAGGGAGTGGATTGAGCGATGCGATTTGATGATGGCTTGTCTTGCCGTGGTGAGGATAAAAATTCTATGGATGAAAGGCGGTGTGCCGTTCTGCTGGTGGTTTGGTGCACCGTGCAAACTGTGCAAACTGCACATGTGATTCTGGACCACTGGTCGGGGTTTACTGTTCCTATTCGGGTGTAGTGTTGTTTGCCTGGCATTGCTGCTGTTGAATCAAAGCCATAAGCATAACCTGTGTTGGCCCGGGATATCTTTAGTCTTTACAGTGTCACTGCTCAGATGTGTTGGGTGCTACGATTATTGATCATATAGTGGACAAACCACTAATTCTACGCCCCTAGGAAGTGAGGTTTAGTATGGGACATACTCCTTAAAGCCAGAGAATCCAAACGTAACAATCATCTCTCAGCAATGAATTCGGCAAACGTGTGGTCGGGCTGTTTGGTTACTTTTATCCCATTCTCGTCTAGTCTATCAGATGTACAGAAATGAAGACCATTATAACTCATCTTTCCCCTCTGAAGGCATAGGCCGGCCACTGTCCTTGCCGAGATCGACCCCGTGCTTCTTGCGCCATTTCTCCCACATGGCCCAGAAATCCTTCTCCATGCCGCTCTCCATCTGGTCCGGCAGGACAACGGTGTACTCAACGTAGAGATCGCCCGGCTCCGAATCGTGGTCGTGGTGCTCGTGCAAATGACCCTCGGAGTAGAAGGGCATGCCCTCGCCCTTGACTGTCTCGACGGAAAGCGGCTGGACGACCTCGCCGCGCTTGCGGCTCAGCTGCACAACATGCCCGTCCAGATGCGTGATATTGCGCGTCCAATCGCCCATCCACGCCTCCCGCAGCGACAGCACCTCCCTCCAGAACAGGTGCCTGCCCTTGCGCCGGAAGAACGTGCCGTCGGTGCGGCGCGCCTCGTCCGCCGCCAACTCAGGCTCCTTCTCCTCCAACACCAGAATCAGATCGCCCGCCACCCAGTCCGGGCTCTCGTCGCCCTCGTTCTCAAACACCAGCCGCGTCCCCTTATCCATGCCCGGCTCCACCGTCGCAACCGTCTCCACCTCCCGCCGCACAACCCGCTGCCCCGCACACACAGGACAGGGCTTCTTGATCGTCTTGCCCTGGCCGTGGCACGCGTCGCACGGCATCTGCACCTGCTGGTACATCCCCGGCGCAAGCATGTGCTTCTGGATCACCCGCCCGCGCCCACTACACTTGGGGCACGTCACCACCTGCCGGTCCGCCGCCCCCGTCCCCTCACACGCATCGCAGATCTGCTGCTTCTCAATCCCGAACCGGATCTCCCGCCCCGTGTAGAAATCCCGCAGCGGCAGCCCCACCCGCATCTCCATGTCCGGACCGCGCCGGTGGCCCGGCGCATGCCCAAAGTGTCCGCCGCCGCCGAAGAACCGCGAGAACAGATCGAAGGGGTCGTTCGCGGGCCGTCCTGCCGTCCCGCCCTGCCGGTGCTGCTCGATGCCCTCGTGTCCGTATTGATCGTAGATTTTCCGCGTGGCCGGTGTAGAGAGGACATCATACGCGTCGGCGATTTCGACGAATTTCTCCCGCGCCGTCTCGTCGCCTCTGTCAGCCGCACTAGTGTTAGCTCCACTCCTCTCTCTCGCTTGCATCTGGGGAAAGTCCCATGGATAAAACTTACGGATTCTTATCCGGATGGAACTTCTTGCTCAGCGTCCGGTACGCGCGCTTGATATCCCGTTCCGAGGCGGAGCGGTCCAGCCCCAGGATCTTGTAGTAGTCTTCCTTGGCCAACGCCAGGACCAGAACGAGTGCGATCGCGAGCAGAATTGTAATTAGACGCATGGTGATGATTGGCAGGCAAGCTGCATCACAGCTGCGCTTTACACGTAGCAATTGGTCGACGATGTCTCAATGGTCAATGCCAAGGTGGTGTATTGTATATTGTGTATTGTATTTCTGAAGTATGCTTGTGAAGCAGACTAGACTTTGCGTGATGTTGTGTTTAATGCAATGGTCCGGAAGGCCGAGGGAGTCTCGAGATCAGCAAAGAACTCAAGATGGAGTTGGTGCTGGGTGTGGGTTGTTTTGCGCTTGCCCTGGACTGATTGCGCGGTGTTTTGGCGGGCCACTACTGATAAAGTCCGCGTTGATAGAGAAGTAGTAAGCTTTTGATTAGGTGGCCGCAACGTGGAGGAAAATGGTTTGTCCGGTCACGTGGTGGACATTTTGCCTGGTTTGAGGTATTGGTTTAGGTACGGAGTAGACTGTGAAATGTTGAGCAAAAGACAAAGTGATCAGATACATTAACTAGATTAAAAGTATAGAGTCGTAGAGAGGCGGTTGGAACGTCGCATCAAATCGACATTTGAACAAAGAATAGCATAATCACTCATAAAACTCATCCCACAGTGACAAAGTCAAATTAAACACTTAAGTACTTCCCCAAGACCGACCAACAACATCGAAAATCTCATTCCGCCATGTCCGACCAAGACCCTGGCTCTGATCTCCCTCCTCGATGGCCTCTTGAGCCCGCAGCCCCTCCTCATGCCACACTTTGACAATACTTCCAGGCGCATAGACGTCCTTGAAGACACCGCTCTTTGGGGCCTCGAAGCCGACCCGGGTTTCGACGTCCGTCTCTGGAAGCCTCAATCGGGCCAGTACGGCCCGGACAAAGGTTGCCAGGTCTTGCGGATTGGCAATACGAGCGGCGCGAAGTCGTTCTCGGGCGAATACCAGCTCCCGGTTGAGGGCAAAGGCCGCCTGGACAATGGACTCGGCGATCTTCTTCTCCAACACGCGGCGCACAAGATGCTTCAGGAAGGGCTTGGTCAGCCACAGGAGGAATTTCCACTTGCTCTTGTGTATTTTGTAGTCGAGTTTGTGGATGCGAACCCGCACGCCGCGCAGGGTAAAGATCTGCTCCAGGCGTTCCCGACCCACTTCCACATCGAGCGAGATGTCGATGCCCCGTCTGTCGAGATAGAAGCTGGCAATGCCTTCGTCTTTGATGCGGAACAACGGCCATGCATGAGTGCGGATCCAGTAGCCAAACTCGGTGGCACTGATGTTGAGGCCAAAGACCGTTGCAGTAAATGTGGTTTTGAGGTCAGTCGATGTTCTCTTTGAATGCTTCTTCAGAACGTCAATGTCGTTGCGCGTGGTGAGGTGCATGCGGTAGGGCAGAAACGACGAGAAATTGACCGTGTGACCGGGTTCAAGGATCAGGTTCTCAATCAATAGATCCATTTCTGGCGCGGATATCTCTAGCCGCGGGATTGGGATATATTGGATACTGCGAATGATAATAGGCAAGAAGATTTCCGCCATGTCTGATGGCAGCTGGCTTTTTCGGTCTTGGTAGCCATTCCATGCATCCCTGTAGATCTTGCGAGTCACGTCAACAAGTTTCGAAACCTGAGTATCCTCAGGTACAGTCCGCAATGTGCGCTTGGCCTGAGCTAGGAAGGCATCCACGTCTCGACGCAGGGTAGTTTCGGTGCCGACATTCTTCGACTTCTCCTTCAGCTCGTCTACCTTCTGAGGGGCCTTGTCAAAGAACTTGGGGTCCGTCAGCATTTCCTGGAGCGCGGCTCCAATCTCCGACATGAACTTCTCAAACTCTGGGTCTTTATTGGCGTGCTTGATGACATCTTTGAATCTTTCCTCCAGGTTCTTCCACTCTTCAGCATCTCCATAGGACTGAAGCAGCTTCCAAAACTGCTCCATTGCCAGTTTGAGATCTTCATTGACATCGACCTCTTCCTCGGCCGTGGAGACGACCTCTGAGGCAGCGTTGGCGTACAGCTGCGCATATCGCCGCACCATCTGTGACAGAGTGGCCACCGAGTCAGAATAATCCGATCGCTCTCGCAGCTTGATAACGGCCTGCTTGAGCCGATGCAGCAGTGTGTCTCGCTCTTGTCCCGTAAGATGCTCCTTCGCACTGTCAACGGCTTCTCGACCAGTGTCTTTCAGCCCATGCCCCGCAACCTCTGCGACTTGGGTGACTTCCTTGCGGAGTTCCTCACCCGACACGGCTCTACCGTCGTCCGCACCCGCGCCTTTAACTGCACCCCGTTCCTCTTCGGACGGCTTGAGCTTCTCTCCAACCTGTTTTGAGGTATCAGACAGAGCAAGAGCTGTGTCGGAGAAGATCTCCCTGCCAACGGTAGTGAGATCCTCGACAAAGAGACGAAAATCGGCATTGGTCAGGAGCAGGCTGCCCACGGTGCGGAGGCTGTCATATGCTGTTCAACGTTATTAGCACAATGCCTTCGAATGAGATTGACAAGAGTCATACCTGCTTTGGTGTCCTGCCGAGCTTTGACCTGAGAAGCACGACGAGCAACTTCAGACGTATCTATCGATGCTCTGGACTTGGAGAGATGCCACAAGAATTCCTGCAGCTGGTCATCACCGTTCTTTTCCCGCAGGAATTCAATGAATATTTCAATCCAGAGGCGGCAGTCCCGGGCTAGCTGGCGGCCAACAGAGCCAATGTCTTGGTTGCGAGGGTTGAGAATATCCGAAGCCAGAAGCGTGCGTAGATTGGCGATAGTCTGATCGGTGGATGGCATGTAACCCTCGGAAAGGGCACGGAGCATCTGATAGCTATGCAATTTCTGATGCAGACGACGCTGGCGAGAGGTATCATCCTCGTAGCGAGGCAGGAGTGGCTCCGTTTCTCCTCCGGGCATGATGACGGTGGTTGTGGTACTGGGCACCCCGCAGCTCGGTACTTTGTATAAACTTGGGGCTAGGGATAAGAGTCGCCGGGCAGGAGTGAGTGCCTTGTGATGCTGAATTGACTAAAAGAACCGTTCTCGAGATAGATTGAGATGAAGGAGGATGCTTCAGCAGCTCTGCTAGGATGAGACAGGCCAAGGTGGTAAGATGTGCATCATCGCGGTAGCTTTTCCTGATCTGCTGTCAAGCATGGACAGCTACTCTCTCACTCTTGCGTCATCTCCAACCTTGGCGTCTTATCGCAGTCAGGTGATCTTACCCCATGTATTTGGAGTCAACATTGGATGACAACACCTCATATATTGACATAAACTATCCATTCATCTTCCGCCGTATTGAAACTAGATGGCTGGCAGTGACATTTATCTACAAAGTAGTTTATCTCCAGCTACAATGCCAAGTTTCAATACATGTGGACAGTTGGAGTTGGAGCGAGCACCCTTATCTACGGATAACTGCCATTCTTATCGATAACTTAATCGTTGGTCTAGAATAATGCGGAGAATCTTTTCTGTGGAGAGTACCCATCTACTCCGTCCTCTCTACTAACATACCTACGGCATTTCATCGAACCAAGTCAGATCGAGGCGGACAGGCCCTCGGGCCATGATACTGATGTTGGTTCAGGAGCGACCTCAGATCTCACACTCAATTGTTGGCTTCCACAATGTTCATTAGATGACTTCGAATCCATTCTATGAGAGAAAACGAAGCTAAGGATCAACATATTCCCACAGTAGCACAAGAGAACGTCAGCAAGGCCTACAAACATAGGGTGCTCAATTCCTGAGCTAGAATCATGGCGTATGGGCTACCCTGGGGATATATGGATGAACAAGAGACGGGTGGAATAACCCTTCCCCATTGGATAAGTGATGCTACTTCATGCAAAAGTTTCATCAACACCTCATAACATAGTCTGGGGAAAGAGGGTGTCTTGGGGTCTCCACACCCAGCCACCGAGACTTTGACGGTTAAGTCCGGGGTAACCTTCTTTCGTAGCCAGACCTTGCAGTAGGTCAGAATAGATTGCTCCGTAATTCGTGCCATATTTGCATACTAGATACACCAGAGCTCAACCCGAGTCTCTCCGTACTCCGTATGGTGATGACACACATATTGTTAAAGGTTGTGTCACTGACGGGAGTGTAAGTTCAGCCTTGTAGTACGTAACGAGTCAGGTGGCTGGCATCAGTTGTTGGGATTGCAATCTCAACCATGCTGAGGGGAAATTCAACGGTCTCTAGTGTACGATGTATATATGATCACAATTTCCGTGCGTCTCACGGAGTACCTGTAAGGACTTGCGTAGTTGCTGGCAAAAGTCCAATAGCAGATGGAGGAATGATCATCGCAATGCTGGATGATCAAGCTTTATGATTCATGCCAGCAAATCTGGGGATATCCTTGTGGAGCATTCCTCCTCCCTCTGCGTCGGATCGTGGAATCGTTGATCTATCATCTTTCTGCAAGGAGTAATGAGCGATTTTCTGTCCCTTAAATCGCTCATAGAATGACAGAGGTGTCTCGTATCCATCATTGACTCAGTGTATGCATTTGAGACACATTTGATCGATCATCTCCAGTGATGAAGCGTTGATATACAACCATTACATAGAGTACAAAAGTACCGCATAGTCTTGCGTGGCTGGTGAGCTCAAGTAAACAAAGCACAGCCACGAGGTTCTAAATCTGGCTCAGTAGCTCTGTATTAGTAATAGGAGCCAAGCTTGTTTTTTGTCTGTAGCTGAACGTAGTCAGGAACCTTTCCGTTGGGGTCACCCTGCGCTGGCCAATAATCCCCTGTAGGACTGTGGCTTCTTCCGGTCGTCCCATCGGCCGGCCCCGGTCGGTGGGTGGCGCTAATCCCCTTGGGGTAATACTCGGTCGCGACCATCGGAATGGAGTTGGGGTCAGCAACGAAAAATCGCTCACTGACGGCAGCACTCCTTAATTTTCAGGATGTCTGAGTTGCACAACCACCGAGTTGATGGCAATTACCGCTATTCTCTCATGCAGGAGCAAAGTCTCTGAATCTTGCACAACATAACAGGTCATCTTCATGTTGCTTCTCCTGTATCGAATCCGAGGAACAGAACGATTGAAAAAGTGCGAATTACTAAGTCTAGACCTCTCGATGATTAAAGCGAGCGAGCTCGGCCGTCGTCCGTCCGCGGGGCCGCGTCGACTGCGGGGAGCTAGGGAGGCAAGCAGCGAGAAAAAAAGTCCAGAAGCTTTCCTCAGGCAGTTAGGCAGAGAGCTCTGCTATTAGGCTAATAATTGATGCCACATGAGCTTTGGGATCCACCGGACCCTATGGTCGAGTCGGGTCCAGTGGACAGTTGCCCAACTTAGACTCATGTGTACACTGTAGTTTGAGTACTCGCGCGACAAAAAATGGCGCATCCGTTGCAGAAATGCTCCACTGCCTTGAATATCGGCATGCCTTGTCGGATACCGATCTCTCGGATACCTCCAGCATGAGTACGTCTACCCTAGTAAAAATATTAATATACTCTAGGTTGTGATAATATTTGAGAGGAATGAATTCGAACCCGAGTTATTATTCTACTTGATTTATATCGTATCAAAGAGTGATGTTGATCGCTGGTTGTAAACCTAGACTGGTTTATGCGGAGTAAGTCCACAAATCCCCTCATGAAATAGTCGCTTATGCTCGAGTATCTAAAGAAAACAGGATGATTCATGAATCCGATCCTCCTGACTAGCTACATCGGAACGAGCGAGTGTATCAATGTCTTAGTTCCAACAAGTAGGTTTCACTCTCAATATTGTAAAAGTACTCCGTCAGCCTTGCATGTCAAACTAGCCAACGTACCCAAGTCTACTTCGTACATCGAGTCATATGTAGCGCTTTAACTTACATGTAAACTCTGTACAACAAAAGCAAACTCTGTAATGCGATGTATCCCTTCAACGATTCAACATTGATCACCATGCTCATTCCCATTATTAATTGGCCTCTCGTTGTTTCTTTGCTTTCTCCGCATTCGTCGCAATTCAGAGGCACTTCCCGTTCTCCACTTCCGTTCAATTTTCTGTGACCCGATCCAATTCAATTCAACCCAATCCAATCATCCAAAAGCTTCGTATCCTCATTTCATGCCCACTTGCGAATTCAATTGAAACGGTTCGCCCGCCACGCAAACCGCTTTCTCCCCGAATATCCACCATTGCGATCCCGACCTCCCTGAGTGGTCCCCTCGTCCCCGAGTATTCCCGACTGCTGAGTGAAGGAGTCATCGAACTAATCACCGCTCGCGCTCTGTTTCATAGCCCTCATAACCTCCTCGTTGGAGAATTTCCTACTAAGTATTTTTCTCCGAGTGCTACTGCGACCAACGGGTGCTTGTGTCTTGACATCGGAATGTTTTGGGTGCCTCCTCAGGGGTCTCCAATGCTAGTGCGGACACATAAAAACAGACTGGCACCTGTGGCCATCTTGTCTAAGTCTTCTTTATTTTCTTTTTCATCTTCACCTCTCCGCTCTTCTGCCTCTGTCGTCACCATTGCTACTCGCCATAGAAGCAGTCTTGCGTCGTCTCAGCGTTCCACAATGGCTCGATTTCCCTCCCATCAGAACCGGCCGGTCCATGCGACGCCGACCTCATACGTGAATCATGCTGCTCCTGTGTAAGTCTGATATGGTACAAGCTATATGGAAGGAACTGATGCTAATTGACTCATTGTTGCTTGTTTAGTGACCCAAATTACGATACTGCCAACCCTGCATACATTCGCAAATATCTCCGCACCTACGGACTGACTCCCCCGCGCGCGGAGTCATATGAAGTTCAGAAGACACGGTGTATGTCCACACAACACAAACGTTCTGGCGTCTGCTGCGGGATCTAATTTGAATATAGGTCTCGCTCAATTGGCCCTCAAGCAGACTGCCATAGATAAATTCCTCTACCTCAGCACCCTCCGCAAAAACAATGTTCACCTCTTTTACCGTTTAATCACAGATCATCTTAAGGTATGGCCAACAAAATTAGTCGCGAACAGCCGATTGAGAGACTGACTTTGACAGGAATTGACACCTTTGATTTACACACCTGTTGTTGGAGAAGCATGCCAAAAATGGTCGGAAATCTACCAGCAGCCAGAAGGTGAGTCCAGACCTTTTCCCAGATTTTCTGCTAATGCATTGAATCCGACGCTAACGACGTTCATCTGCCTAGGCATGTATCTGAGCTGGGAGGACCGCGGCAATCTGGCCGCTGTCATCGCCAACTGGCCGCAACCAAACGTTGAAATCACGTGCATCACCGATGGGTCCCGAATTCTCGGACTGGGAGATCTTGGCATCAACGGAATGGGCATTCCGATTGGTAAGCTGGCGTTGTATACTGCATGTGCGGGGATCCGTCCCGAGGCCACCCTGCCCTTGACTCTGGATCTGGGGACAAGCAACAAGGCTCTCCGGGAAGATCCGCTGTACATGGGTACTCGCCGTGACAAGATCTCCCCGGAGGAGGAACGGGAATTCATGGATGAATTGATGGCGGCTTTGACCGAGCGCTGGCCTGGGTATGTGGCTCCACCTCCCAACTCTTTCCGATGACACCGGACACTAACGGAGGTAAACAGTATCGTCATTCAGTTTGAGGACTTCAAGAATCCCTTCCCCGCTTTGGAGCGGTATCGTGATATCTACACATGCTTCAACGATGACATCCAGGGTACGGGTGCTGTCATCCTTGGTGGTGTCATCAACGCTGTGAAGCGTTCGGGACTTCCCTGCAAGGAGCACCGCGCCGTTTTCTTCGGTGCTGGAAGCGCTGGTGTTGGTGTGGCCAAGCAGATTGTTGCATTCTTCATGCGCGAGGGCATGACGGAGGATGAGGCCCGCTCCTGCTTCTACCTGGTCGACACCAAGGGTCTCGTCACCGCTGACCGGGGTGATAAGCTCGCCGATCACAAGGTTTACTTTGCTCGTACGGACAATAACGGCCAGCAGTTCAAGACCCTCGACGAGGTTGTCGAGCATGTGAAGCCGACCATCCTCATGGGTCTGTCGACCATCGGCGGTGTCTTCACCCCGGAGATCCTGCGCAAGATGGCCGACTGGAACACCCACCCCATCATCTTCCCCCTGTCCAACCCTTCCTCCAAGTCAGAATGTGACTTTGAAAGCGCCATCACCCACACCGATGGCCGTGCCCTCTTCGCCTCCGGTTCCCCCTTCCAACCTTTCTCCTTCAAGAACTCCTCCGGGGAGACCCGCACCTACTACCCCGGCCAGGGCAACAACATGTATGTCTTCCCCGGTATCGGTCTGGGCACTATCCTCTCCAAGGCGGTCAAGGTGACCGACGAGATGATCTACGCTTCCGGTGCAGCTCTCTCGCAAGCTCTGACTGCCGAGGAGATCGACCTCGGTCTCCTCTACCCCGACTTGACCCGCATCCGTCAAGTCAGCATCGTCGTGGCCCGCAAGGTCATCCGCGCCGCACAGGATGCTGGCGTGGACCGTGAGACCTCTCTGCGCACCATGAACGACGAGAACCTCGATGCATGGATCAAGGCTCACATGTACGACCCTCACAGCGAGGTCCAGGCTTTGGAGAGGGAAGTCGGCGCTCTCCTCTCGAATCTCGGGCCTGCCTCTTCTGTCTTGAATGGCTATTATGAGGATCAAGGCAAAGATGCTAAGCTGTAGTTTTATTCTCCTTTCATTTTTTGTCAGCCGGCATGAGATACTAACCCCGTGTCTCTGCTGAACTTTTTCGTTCTACGTTTTCGTACTTCCTTTTTTCATTTACGTTCCTGGTCGCCCCAGGTTGTGGAGCGCTTTGATTTTTGCTTCGACTCTTGCATTGAAGGATGCCCCTGTGTTCCTGAATACCCTTTGCATATTGCTGATAATGACTTGCTTTTTGGACCATGTTTGTTGGGTTTGGGATTGGTTTCGGTACCGACGTTTACATCAAAAGTTGATCAATCCAATAATTTATGTCGGTCTCATGATCACTGTTCTCAAATTGATGAAGGGATTCTCTCCACACAGTTTTCATAAGTAACATCTGTCCAACATCTTCATCTCGGTAGAGTGGATCATGTGAAGTGGAGACACGGAGAGATTTATAGCCCGAACGTGGAAAATGAGTATCACTAATCCATCCCCCGAGATGATCCGCGGGATGATTTGCTTGGAAAAAGGATTATTAACCTTAAGAATTAAGATGCAGAGCCAAGGTCAGGTACTGTGGCTACGTACTAGCTGGTGCCTATCAACTTTGCGTTCGCAACTTTTGTCTGGTTGGGAATAGACTCGACTCGGCCCCGGCAATACTTCCATCCGCTGCCGAGCCATTCATCTTACCTACGGAGGATTTGCCGATTTATAGTGAAAAAAACGCCTCGGTTTCGATTTTCTCATCTGCGAGAAATCGTTCCTTGAATTGATACGGATCAATCACCATGTCTTCGTCTCTAGGTGATGCAGTCAAGCTTCCATGCGGGCTGGTCTTTCCCAACCGCCTCGTCAAGGTAAGTTTCTGATGATAACAGTCACGAACATGACTGACCACTCCAGGCTGCAATGGCCGAGCTGTTGGCCGGCTCAGAACATACCCCTACACCCAAACTGATGGAAGTCTACAACCAATGGGGCAAAGGAGGATGGGGTGCCGTGCTCACGGGTATTTCCTCATAACCCCTTTTACTTCAACCAGGACTCCCGCTAAGTATCCAATGCTACTGGACAGGCAACGTCCAAGTCGACGTCAACCACCTGGGCAGTCCCTTGGACCCCGCCCTGCCAGGCGAGTACACAGGCAAAGAGTCCAACCCGGCGCTCGTCGAGACATGGGCCAAATATGCCGAGGCCAGCCAGCAGCACGGCGTCCCCTCCATCGTGCAGATCTGCCATCCGGGCCGGCAGTCGTTCCGCATCGCAGGCAAACGCGGTATCTTCGCATCGACGATTGCGCCCAGCGCGATCCCCCTGCAGATGGGGGACGGGCTCCTGGACCGGATCATCAGCCGCCTGGCGTTCCCTGCGCCGAGGGAGATGACGCAGCAGGATATCGATACTGTGACGAGGCAGTTTGTTGATACCGCGCGGCTGATGGCCGACGCGGGGTTTTCGGGAATCGAGCTGCATGGTGCGCATGGCTATCTGATTGGTATGTTCTTTCTGTGTCCTGTAGTAGGGTGTTGTACTGATTGTAGCAGACCAGTTCTTGAATCCAAAGGTATGCGTGTTCCTCTAGAGTTAGGGTCAGGGTCAGGGTCAGGGTCAACTAACCAGACAGACGAATCTACGAACCGATGCATACGGCGGCTCCGCAGAAAAGCGAGCCAAGTTCGTCCTCGATATCCTCTCGCAAACCCGCAAAGTCGTCCCCGCCACCTTCTGCATCGGCATCAAGTTCAACTCGGCAGACCACTCCTCCGCCTCCTTCGAAGACACCATGACCCAGATCGGCCTGCTCGTCGACGCAGGCATCGACTTTCTCGAAGTAAGCGGCGGATCATACGAGGATCCCAAGGTACCGTCCCACTTCCCCCCAAAAAGCCTACCACAAGAAACACAACCCTGACAGGAAAACAGATGATGGGCATCGACTCCCAACCTCACCCCGAGAAAAGCCAACGCACCCTCGCGCGCGAAGCCTTCTTCCTCGAATTCGCCCGCGAAACCCGCAAGCGCTTCCCGACCCTCATCCTCATGCTCACGGGCGGATTCCGCAGCCGCGCCGGCGCAGAGCACGCCCTGCGTGAGAACGCATGCGATCTGATCGGTATCGGCCGGCCCGCGGCTGTGGAACCGGCTTTCGCGAGCCGGCTGCTGGACGATAGTGTGCCTGCGGAGGAGGCCGAGATGCACTTGAGCACGGTTAAGCCGCCGTTTTTGCTGAGTTTGCTGCCGATTAAGGCGGTTGGGGCGGGGTTGGAGAGTGTAAGTTCTTTCCTTGTGCCTCTGTATGAGTGCTGTGATGCTAATGTTATTGTTAGTCGTACTATGCGGGGCAGATCAAGCGGATAGGTGAGGGGCTGAAGACATTTGCGCCGTCGTTGTGATGTGATGTAGATGTTTATGTATATGTATACCCACTGGGCTTTTGGTCCTTACTAGATAATTATAATAGAATACTAGGTAGTACTCGTGTCAATGTTACTTTCTTCCGATTATTCCGTCGCAGGACTGGCTAGTTGCATAGTTGTGATGGCAACAGTAACCACAACCAAAATATCATCAATCCATGGCTCTACAGTAATGCACATTCTCACTTACCGGCCAACTACTGGTACATCCAACTCCCAATAGTTTGGTAAGATCAGATCTGTACCAAAAACTAAAGGTTAAGTGAGCAAACGTATTGATGACGTCGACCTTAAACAGGCGGCAGCGGACAACCTCAGCCAGCCTGTTTTGGCGATGCGACCGGCAAGGTGATTGCATCAATTGTTACGTTATGGTTTTGCTATTTGTATATATAAGGCGGATCTGCCGTCCTCTTTCTCTAGGTTGCAACAGCACTATAGAATCCTCCTAGCCAAAATGACGGCTAAAAAGCACAAGGTTACGGTGGTCGGCTCCGGAAATTGGTATAGTTCTCTACTCCGTAGTTTCATTTATGATTTTATAAAGAGTATATAATGCAGTGGCTGACGACGCAGGGGATCGACGATCGCCAAAATCCTCGCCGAAAACACGCGCGAGCATCCCGATGTCTTCGAAGAAGAGGTGCAGATGTGGGTATTCGAGGAGGAGGTGACTCTCCCTGATGACTCGCCGCACCGTGAGGCCCTCGGCGACCAGAAGCACAAGTTGACCGATATTATCAACCGCGTCCACGAGAACGTCAAGTACCTCCCTGGCATTGCGCTGCCGAGCAACGTCGTGGCGAACCCGGACCTGCGCGCTGCCGTCAAAGACGCCACGATCCTCGTCTTTAACCTCCCGCACCAGTTCATCGACAAGACGCTCGAGCAGATAAAGGGCCACCACCTGCCATACGCGCGGGCCGTCTCGTGCGTCAAGGGCGTCGAGGTTGCCAACGGACGGGTCACGCTCTTCTCGGAGCTCATCATGGAGAAGCTGGGCATCTACTGCGGGTCGTTGTCAGGCGCCAACATCGCGCCGGAGGTCGCCGCCGAGGAGTTCTGCGAGACCACCATCGGCTACGACCCGCCGCCCATGGACCTCGACGCCAAGGACGAGTTCTCCCCGGATAACCGCCACGTTATCAACAAGCAGCGCCAGCGCAAGATCTCCTCCACCTCCGCGGAGCTGCAGCGCGTGCCGGACGAGTACCCCTGCGTCGACCAGAAGCTGCTCCGTCGCCTCTTCGAGCGCCCGTACTTCCATGTGCATGTCGTCGCCGATGTGGCGGGCGTGGCGCTGTGTGGTGCGCTGAAGAACATCGTCGCGCTGGCGGCCGGCTTCGTCGCGGGTAAGGGATGGGGCGAGAATTCCAAGGCCGCCATCATTCGAATCGGGATGATGGAGATGATCCGCTTCGGGCGCTTCTGGTTCCCCGACTCCGTGGACGAGAAGACTTTTACCGAGGAGAGCGCCGGCGTGGCTGATCTGGTCGCCTCGTGCTCGGCCGGTCGTAATTTCCGGTCCGCGAAGCATTCCGTTGAGAAGGGTGTGAGCGTCGACGAGATCGAACAGTCGGAGCTGAACGGGCAGAAGTTGCAGGGGACGTCGACTGCGCGCGCCGTGTGCGATTTTCTGTCGACGCATGGCAAGCTGGACGACTTTCCGTTGTTCAATGCGGTCAATCGTAAGTTTTATACAATAGCATATCCGATGGTAAAGTCAGTGCTGACCAAAGATAGGCATCCTCGATGGTAAAGTCAGTGTGGAGGAGCTGCCAAAGTTGTTGAAGTAATCTGGAAATGTATATGCCGTAATGACCACAGCTAATAGACCTTATCATCATGAGTGCACGCGCGCGAGTTATGGCTGTAGGAACGACTACCCTGTATAGGGCAATATAATCTTCAAGCGGGGATTGCAGTAGACTCTTATCTTGGTGGAAGAGACTCTAAGATTTCATGGAATGCTTAGAAACCCTCATTCGGTCACGCATAGTATGAGTCATATCTCTGGCCTCTCAGAATCAGGGACCGATTATCAAACTAAAGAGGATCAAATGGCACGGTATCGTTCCCTCCCCAGAGGTTCCCCGAGAACCCCTCGAGAGTTTCAAAGTCTGGCATCCAAAACGGACAATCATCCTCAAGATCTATCCACGGAGCAAGCTGGAATGCCATACGCACTCCATGATCATGAGCAGGCGGATTCGTCGGTCCCGCTATATTGGGATCAGTTGCCGCGTACTCCTTGAACGTACCAGGGGTGGTACTTTGGAGGTTGGGGTTCGCACCACCATGCTGCGCGGTCATCAGCTCCGCCATGCCGACCTTCTTGGCCGCCTCGCTGTTGCCCTCGAGTTTCTCCATGGCGGCGTTGACGAGTATCTCGAACGCGTCGCGGTACTTCTTCACCCACGTTGCTCGTTCGCCCATAACGAAGAGGACGGTCGAGCAGGCGCGGATGTCGTTGCTCATCTGCACGGACCACACTTGGTCCGTATGCGTCCACAGGGCGTATAGCAACGTGATGCCGGCCATGAAGACCGTCTGGACGGCGAGGAAGGAATGGCCGTACTCGAGCGTCTGGTGGAGCCGCTTGTGGGTCTGGCAGATATCGCCAGCTGCACGGAGGCAGATATGGTAGTAGGGGTCCGAGAGGGGCAGAGAGGGCAGGAATGGTTGTATGAGGAGTCGAAGAGCGCGGTTGTAGTGCAGCATGGGATAGTCCATGTCCGACCCGCTGAAACGCTGCAAGGCGGATCTCTTCCACTCTTCCAGCTCGATGAAGAGACGGTCCATCTTGGAGCGGAGCGTGTGTAGTGGCCTGTCCGCGCGGTAGATCTTGTGCTGGATCCTCGAGTCGATCCGGCGCAGCTCGAACAGGTAGATTGCGAACGTTAGCGAAGTGATCCTGTCGGTCCGGGGAGGGGCGGTCAGTATATCGGGGTCTTGGACGTCGTCATCTACGTCCATCGGCAAGGGGAGGTCAATTTGACGGTCTGCGATGCTAAAGGGTCGCCCAAGAGACATCGAGATGACCCTCTCTAGATAGTAGATTGTCCAGAAAAGTCGGCGCCGCATCTGCGCGGTCCATGGATCCAGATTGATCTCGTTCGCTTTCCTGTGCAGGCCGAGGTCAATAGCGGTGCGCATGGCAAGCCCAATGATGTACCAGAGGCCATGACTGGATGCGGAGCGAAGGTGATATACCACCAGGAGAGTCATTGCCTCAATGTTTTCAATAGATCTTACTTCACACATAGAAGGGACCTGCTGTAGAGCAGCGATGTAATATCGCTAAACAAGGTCAGAGCTCCAGGCTTGAGAGAAGAAGGCTGCTGTAGACATACCTCTGGAGGCACGTATGTGTATTTCTCGCTCAGTTGGATCGTTGTCGCCCCAATCGCGTACACCAGGTACAACTTAAACAGACCGAATCTCTCGGCCTTGGTGAGCTCTTCCCGTTTGGCTTTGGCCAACCGCCATCGAGCTCCGTGGAGCTTCCACAGCTCCGCACGATCAAGGAACGGATAGCGCACATGCAGTCTGGTCAGGTACGCATGTAAAATCCGCGTTCCCATCTCATCGTTCGGCGGTTCGGTACTTTTGACCAGCAGCTCCTCCATGCGCCGCGGTCGTGGATGGTCAGGGACATTCTGACTCCCGCTGGACGGTTGAGGAGGCAGGCCGGTAGAAGGCACCGCCTGACCAGCGGTAGACCCACCACTACCGCGTGAAGAAACCTGGTGGATATGAGATGGCGCGAGAACTTGGTTCCAAACCGTTGCCTGAACCATTTCGCTGAGGTTGGCGGCCAGTGAGAGTCCGGAGCTTGAGCCTACATAGGCGGGAGCTTCTGCGGAGTTGAGCGCGAGGAACCCAACAAGCTCCCCAACGGTGTTGTGGTTCAAGTTCGAAGTAGACGTAGGGACGGCCTCGTGGTTCTGAGGAGATAAAAGTGCTGCACCTGGATGACCGGTGTTGCTGCTGGCATTGTTGCTTAGTGGTCTCGCTTCCAGCTGGGATTCAAGATAAGCAATGCGTTCTTCCAGCGCGCGTGTATAGCTTTATGAAATTAGTGCTCCGAATAATTATCGTCAGAAAGAGCTGGTGATCGGAACAGATGACTCACTCGTTTGATTGACCACTCTCCTGTCGAAGAACCGTCAATTTATCGCACGAAACTCCAGCTTTACGGCAGTTGGAGCAGGCCGGGTAATCATTATCGCACTATATCACTCAGCCTGATGATAAACCAAACCTGGTAGGCAACGATTGACCTTTTGCTTCCTGGTTTTGCAGCGCGTACATGATGTTCTTACGCGCTTTCGGGGGTTGTGATCTTTTGAGGGGAAAGGCGCCTCTGAGTTTGACACTTGCTCAGGGATATCCATCTTGACAGATTATACAGATAGACATCTTCTCTGTTACTGATTGAATAACATCACTGGTGTCAGATTGATGTCAAGTGGATGCTCGCCAAGTTGACGAAGTCATCAAAAGACCGTGGACGATGCCAAGACGTGGTAACTGGACCGGTCCGGGGCAGGGTCCATTCTCCCAGTTAAATGGTTGCTTGAAGACGGTAGTTAATATGCTTATTAATTGTGCGATATACTCAGTTGATCGCAAATCATGGTGTACACATGGAAGATCATTTTCATCACATTCTCTACTCCGTATGTATGGCTAAAAATGGTATCTAATCACTCGATTTCAACAAACGCCGCTAATGCTGCCATCAAGAACTATTAAAGCTATTAATGATGAGGTTAAAGCCATCCAAAGATCACTGCGCTGTACGATGCGGGTCTTGAGTATTTCCATCCCAGTCATGTTGGCTTATTGACTCTTGCTGCCGTCCACTTCATTATTATGGCCCTTGTTGGATTTCTCGGAAGGCTCAGTCGGAGGTGCTTCTTCGTCTGACTTCTGTTGTGCAGTGTTACGTTCTTCCTCCTCCTCCCCTGGTT